TTTCGTTGAAAGATCTGAGAAAGATGGATCTCAACAGAAGAATGATCTTGTCAGTTCCAATTAGCTCGTTCTTTTACAGCACTAGGAGAGCTAGTAAGGAGTAGAGAGTCGCTTGTACACTRAATAMTTAATGATTTCAAGCTATCCTCTGTATTATTTTCGTCATGGTATTGTCGCCAAGCTATTTCTCTCTTGAAGTTGCGGTTGCATTCATMGTTCCTATTGATTACTATTTCAAATGCTGCACCAAGTCTAGTCCGGGCATCCAATTCGCTGAAACAATTGCATCGATCGATTACGCGCTGCCAGACTGAAGCACAGTCAGTCCCACTTTTGATTGCGGTTTGTTCCGACCGATTCGMTTTCTTCTATGGGAACCGTGGTTGAAAAAGTTCCAAAAAGGAATCCTGCAATCAGGCACGACAAACCCGAAAGCCTCCACACCTGMGACCAATCCCCATGCGTCACCTCGATAATTTTGCCAATTACAAAAGGGGCTGTCATTGCAGAAACACTAGACATACAATTCCCAACGCCCGCTACCAATGCCACGTATTTCTGTGTAACATCCAGATAGTTTGCTCGAAAGGATTCGGCGTGAAAACCAGTTCCAGCCAATGTCACCGAAAACAAGATTGTCGACCACCACGGGGAGTAGGAAGAGCCTGTTTTTGACGAAGCTGCGATTGGTAGCAACCACATGGGAATCGCCATGACCAGGAATCCAAGGTACCCCATGAATCTGCGAGAAAATAGAATTATCGATCGCTCGTCGTTGGCGTTGCTTTGCATTGGCRAAGATCTTCGACGCAGTCTCTTCTGCTGACGTTGAGCTTCCTGCACGACTCGTGCAATTTTTGACACACAAAGTTTGACGATGAGRGCCGAAAATTGTGGCAGCACAATATGCAGTTTTGAGTCTTTAGGATTCATCTTCAAGACGTCATTGTAATAGGTTGGCATCCAAGAATTTATGGACAACGTGACAAAGTTGTAAAGCATGTGAACCAGAAACAGCGAARAAATCGACGGATGAAGCAGAATTTTTCGCCTTGACAATGACSATTCTTCCTCTTCCCCACTAGTTTTAAGATTTTCGCTACTCGGGGCACTCTTACTTTGAATGGAATGGATCAGATTCAATTCCTTCTTGGAAATATACGAGCATGATTCCGGTTCATTGCGTCCCAATGCGACCCAAATAGTCAMATACGCAAAGCAAGCCATTCCRGTTGCGTAGAATCCATTTCTCCAGCCTGCAATCACGGAAGGCGTTGTTTCTATTGTCGACGTTGATGGTGGTATCGAAGGTTTTGCGGTGAATTCTGCAATAGATGTAACGATGATTGGAACGCCCATGGATGCGATAGACATCGCTATTTCACCATAGGCCATAGCAGGCCCGCGTTCATTCAGTGGCAACCATTTTGACAAAAGCACTGAATGCGCGGGGAACATACCCCCAAAAAGAGCTCCTTGTATTGCTAGCAACACGAAGGCCTTTCTTAGCAACGGGGACTTGGATTCGGCTCGGATAGAAACCGGCAGCAACATGCATCCSGTCGCAAGTCCCACCAATGCTATCGTGATGACTGTTTTGGTCCCACCGGGAAGCCACTGGATGAGTGAACCCCCAATAGCCTGTGTAAAGATATTTCCGACCGATGGCGCGGCAATCAACTGCGCCTGCTGGCTCGTACCCATACCCTTGTCGGCAAATTCTGTGCACATAAAGACCGACATTACGGCCACGGTTTGCCGGATAGCCTGATACCAAAATACATTCATGGCTACCAATAGTGCATGGATTGTACGCGCATTATCGGTGCCAAAGGAGCCGGGCACGAGCGAGAGAATAAGCTTTGCCRCGGCATCGTTTATTGTAGGATTGTTCTTCTTGCTATTGAATATCGAAGCCGTGGCCGCGGTCGACGTCGAATTGGTCACTCCTGCTGTTGCTAATGCTATTTGCGGTAACAATTTCAGTGCATCCCTGGWAGGCAGCATCTTTGTGGATAATTTTGTTGTTGTTTGGTGCAACAATTTGATGGTCCCGAACTATATCAGAGTAGCGTTGCTCTGTTTTTCACTAAAGTTTTCGAGCAGGTTACCGAAACAGAATCAGTGAGRTTAGGGGAGGAAATTCGGGAGGTCTATGTCACCCATCAATTTCATCCAATTTCCACACATTTTTATCTGGAGCAATATGGGATAGGCAATAGAAAAAGCACTGCACTTACGKCTTTTCCCTTTAGTTCAATTCAAGACTTGCCTCAGCCGTTGTATTCCGTCCGRTYTTGTTTGCTCTTATTTGTTCTCTGTTGTCAACCCATCAATTTTGGACAGCAGAATTATCGAAATCGCTGTATTTTCGGTCGTAAGCTAGTCTGGAATGTGGCCAATAGAAGTGCAGTATGGTGCATCTTCACCGATCGGAATACAAGATGGATCAGCAATGCGTTCAAAGTGCCAACAAACAGATGTCAGAAGGCGAAAAATTATTTTGTCGTCTACCGTGCGTACAGTACCGTACGAATGATCATGATGTCATTCAAGCAGTGAGGAAAACGGAAAACTTTCCCTCAAAACTTTATTCTGTTGCTGCACGCGCGATTTCCGATGGTCGTCTGGCTTGGCACGTTTGAGAAAGGCTTTCAAAACTTGCGGTTTTCCTTTTCCAAGGTGGTGCGAATTTCGGCGCTCTTACTAGTAATTATTTACTACGGTAGTACGATGGAAAATAAATTCAATTAGATCTGAATTCTTGCACCCTCCCTCTCATTTTTTGATTTCCTGAATTTCCATGAAATCAAGTTGATGATCAATGACATATTTGATTCGTTCGATTCGGTGCTCTATTCTGTTCTGGATTCTGGACACCGAATTTCTTCGGTTTTTGATTTTCTGTTTTGTTGACTTMAATGTTCAGTGGTTTTGATGTTCATTTTGTGTGTTATTGTAACGATTCTTGAAATCATTCGGTGTCTATTTWCCACGGAGAATACCACTTTGACAGCGATTAAGTAGCAACAGCAAGCCCAGTAGCATTCCGATCATCGCATCATTTAAGTCTGAAAGCAGCGACATGGAACGAAACGATGTCGATTTGTTACTTCACGAGAAGGGATACCAACGAAGAAATTGCTCAACATATTCGACAGAAAACACATGGTGATCCCACTTTCAAGTTTTCTAATGATGCTATCCATGGTTTTKCCTTTTACGAAATCACTTTCGATCAGCAACTTGCATCTGCAGTAATAAACTACTTCCAATCGAGCGTTTCCAAAAAAATCATTACCRATGAGCCAAAAGATCACCAACTTCTATATCAGAAGCAAGTAGATCGCAAGGTGAACAATCCAGGCTTTTTGCTGGAGTTCTCTTTGTATTCGTGTCCCGGGAACAATTATCTGGACCAAGTTTTGCGAAGCGCGATCGAACTGGATGTGGTGCAACACTATCGCATCAGAGGAGACAGCAATTTCGACTCGATACAAGAGAGCCGGAACCCAAACGGTACAGGACAGGAACAACGACAGCAGCCACTACGACGAGTTCGTAGATGGATGTCCATTCCTCCTTCTGAACGACCATTGGAACTTCAACAGTATGTCCAGCCATCGCTTCAGCCATTCGGCGGATGTCAGAACAAAATCGGCAATGGAAACGTCAAGAGCGACACCAACTTGAGGGGGTTTTCACTATCGCATTTTCGTGTAACGAGGGAAGACATGAAACTTCTACGAGAGGTAATTCTTTCGTCCAGATCTGGTGGTCTGGAGACTTTGTCTTTCGTAAATGTTGCATTTCTGGAGGATGAAGCAGTCCATGAACTATCTGAATCTCTCGCATTACTATCGCAGCAAATGCAACTCAATCAAAATCAAGACATCGATCATAATAGCAAGATTGCCCGAGATTTATCAACAGGATTGTCGGCTTCTAGAAAATACCTTCGCGAATTGAGTTTGGTGCGCTGTGATTTGACCGATGAGCAATTAGAACTCGTTGTGCGGTCATTGATGACGACAACAATTCGAAACAACTGCGGAACGCTTCCTTCTCCATCTCATGGCATTATGAAAAGTAGTTTGTCGAAATTGAACATATCCTCGAATAGATGCGGCGAACTATCGCTCAAAGCCCTGGGTACTTGGTTACTGAATTTGGATTCAAAATCAACACCGAATGCACTGTGCTCCTGTTCCTTGGAATCCCTTGAAATTTCGAACAATATTGAAAACGACAACATCGACACTCTTTCTAATTCTTTGCAATTGCGTTCTTGGACGCAGCTGATGGAGAATAAGGGKGATCAGGGAAAYTATGACGAAACGGCAACGGATATTGCACTAGCTGTCGATTMTAGCAAACTACGCACCAACAAAACACTGAAACAGTTGCGACTGAATGGCAATACCCATCTGGGCGGAAGAAACGAGGAAGGAGTTGTCAATTTGGAATGCCTCGGTCGATTCGTTTCGAACTGTTTGGTTGGATTAAAAGAGTTRGATTTAGATTCYAGTGGCGTCACGGACGATGGTTTCRCGAGATTTGCTGGTGCATCGCACATACTGCCATGTTCGGTAACCCTTGACAAAGCAACTTCATCAAAATCATCTTCGATAACTTCAAAAGCTGGATCATTGATTTCTTCGGCATCGCCAAACATTTCTCTACGACTATTGCGGTTATCAGGAAACTACGAAATTTCATCGAGATCAGCTCAAGCGATGGTTGAGGTTCTCAATCGATATCCAATGTTGAAAAGCATAACCTTTGGATGCTACAAGAAACAAAATGTGTGGAAACGGACCATCCACGAGAAACAGATACGTCATTTGTTGACCATTAATGAATCTGGACGTGTTCTTTTGYTCTCTTCTGGAAATCACGAAAAATACCCTAGTGGTGAGTTTGTTCCGCTATCGTTATGGGCTGTGGTCTTGGAACGCATCAATCGTCGATTTTGGAACAATGCTTGGTCGAAAGATTCGCAAATTCAAGCTGCGGATGCTATATTTTTTTTGATCCGCCGGAATATCACAATCGCGATTCAGCGATCGAAGCACGACTCGGGTAGAACTACGGCAGTGATAAGTTCCCCTTCTGACATTSAACCAGGAAACACCAAAGATGACGCAAGKGTAGGTACGCAGTGCCCCCAACTCCGACTGGCAACAAACGGRAACAAACGAACGCGAGACTGTAATGCGGAGACCAGGGATTTCAAGCGGAAGTCTCAATGAATGCAWTCATTTTCATAGGTTGCTATTTTTCTTTCATTTACCTAGGGTTGTTTTTGTTGGAAAACAACTATTGAAATTTTTGTTTGCAATGAACAAAYAATAAAAAGTTTGACTTCGCAAATGCAATTGTGACGGGGAAATAGGCTATTCAAATCGTCGAAGGCAACTGAAAAGGTACAAAAGACATGAATTTGATTTCCAGAAATGATACTACATTGAAAAGTAGAGGCAAAAATCCTATTCTTTTTCGTAGGTTGCTGTAAATCTGAAAGTTCGACCTAACTTCATGAACTTTCTTGTTTAATTGCTTCGATACTGGTGTTTTCGTCATCCTTATTCTTGAAGACGAACGCAAGTCCTTTTTTGTAGGTTTTAATGGAGGGAGAAATGGAYCCCCCATCGACAGCTACCACAGGAACCCCATCGTATCGATCTGGATCCAAGATCGGTCTTGTTCTCAAACACACTCGAAGGACACCACCAATTTCTTTTGAGTTGACCATGATAGGAAAGTCTCCAGCGATGCATCCTCGTGATAGTAGCTGCTTCAACTCAATAGTGACCTGTGCAAATGCAATCCGGAATTTGTTGGGTAAATTTTAGAGCCAGAAAAGGAACATAATGTACCTTCAGGAACCCACTGACTGATGGCAAAAGCGATTGCTTCGGTTRCTTACCTTCCCAAGAAAAATATCCTTCGCGTCACCTTCTCCTGCTTCGTCTTCSACCGCTTGCGGTTCGCTCCCYCCACGGCTGAAAAACCACGATGATTTCTTYCTTTCTGCTGCTTCTTTTCTAGCTGCAGCTTGTTGACGCTTTTGTTGATTGTGAAGATAGTAAACACTTAACTGGATGGTTTTAGTTTCCATTCTTCGCAGAAGTATCCTTTCTTGTTTCGGATCTTTCCTCGGAAGGCCGATTTGTTGTCTACACGACTTGCTAGAMGGATCAAAGTCGTATTTGAACTGTAGTGCGGAAACCTTTCCCGAAACTCTTGCGGATGATCTTCGCTTCAGCGACAAACCTGTAGGATCGAAATTCATAAATACGGGTTTGCTTGGATCTTCCGGATGAATGGGAAGTTGTAGCTTGCTACTTATCCTCAAATCTGGACAATCAAAGTCAGCCTTCTTGCTCTTGGGCTGCTTACTCAGTATCTTTTGTAGCTTCTCATTTTTATCCATCTCGAAAAGTCCCATAATTGCAACCTCCAACGAATTGTTCGCAAGGTAGTTTGATGTACTAGCATCGTCAGAACTATTAGATGAAGCTGCGCTCTTCCCCGTATTCGTGCAGGTCTCAACCAAAGAAAGTATATCGYCTTCCAACATGTACAATTTCTTGGCGACAGCTTTGTTTTTGCTGTCTTCAGACTGACCATCACATCCCTCGTTCCGTTTTGTTTCATGCCCTCGCGGACCCAATTGGACAGAGTCTGATCCCTCTGTATTGATGAAATGAAYGGCTTTTTGACACTCYCCCTCGAATTCGGTCCATTCCTTGCGTTGGCTGCAACCGACAGCGGGTTCAGTTCCAAACCACTGGTAATACTGCCACAATCTGCGTTGAGTTTCGGATACATCTATGCGCTTCTGGATTGTGTCGGTAAGTTTAGAGCACTTTACAAGCTCGACTTGCCTTTGTTCCTCCGCTAGTTTTTGCTTAAAAAGTTGCAACAGACGCGTCGCTTCTTTTACTTGTTTCTCGTTTTTCAACCGAATCACTTCCGCTTTGATTTCACTGGATGGCTTCAGTAGCCACGGGTCCTTTGACGGTTCTGGAGGTGACTGTTTTGGAGCCGGCTCATCGGGCTTCTTGTTGCCATCTACCAATGACTCCAATGCCTCCATGCTGATGGATTGTTCATTTYCCCCATYGCCGTCATGGTCTGCTCCGTTCGATTTACGTTGTTCGAGTTTTCGATAAATTTCTGCCAGTCTCATTGCATGTAATTTTGCYTTTTTGGATTGCAACAAACTCGATTTTGCCAACTCAATATTCCCCTCCTGTTTGTACTGCAGGGCTTGTTGCTTGTGTTCATTGATTTTCTCCGTAACTTCTTCTACCGTGGGCAAGGCATCCGGTCCCATCATCTCGACCAGCTCAATCACATCGTTATCGTCGTCCATGTCTTCCAAGTCGTCCAGTGTCAATCGATCCGTTGGCTTGCCATCTTCTTCGTTACCACCTGCTTCATTGTTCGCTGGTGATGMCGCAAACAGTTCACCCAACAAATCGCTTTCTTCCGGATTCAATGTTTCCATCCAGCCATGAGAATCCTCGTGGATTCTCAATCCCAATCCGTCTTCCATGTTTTTGAGTGCGGTGGCAACCTTTTCCAATTGTTTTGCCGCGCGTAGATTTTGGGTCGCTTTTGGAATGTCGCCTTCCTGCTTGCTCTTCAAGGCGAGCTTCTTATAGGCAAGGACCTTCGCAGCGTATTCTTCTTGGGTTGGTATTCCCTTGACTCCACCCAAACGAAAYTCTGTCATCATTTCCTCGTCCATCAATTCGTTGTCCGTGAAGGTCATTTCATTTCCTCCCGAASCATGGGAATCAGAATCGTCATCGTTGCTATTTGCCGAGCTTTGAGTTGCTGGAGCTTCTACAGTTTCYATCGTTTTCTCGCTCTTTTCTCCTCCACCTACTAATTCGGCAAGCATAGCTTCCTCTTCCTCGTCCACTGCCTCTTCCTCGTCTTCTTTGCTTTGAACGTTATCATACGATGGTGGCGATGGCGGTGTAAAACTTCCAACATTTTCATAGGTAGGAGGTGGAGCGTCACTTTTCCCGCTAGCAACATGTTCGGTCGGCTCGGGCTCACTCGTTGGCTCAGATTGTGGTTCTGGCATTTCCGTTCCGTTTTCCTCTGCTTGGATTTCTTCTTCTGCTTCTAGCCCCGATTCCAATGCTTTCGAGTGCATCAACGCTTGTTTCGCACGATCTATGTCTCCCGCTTGTTTGCACAAAATAGCAACCTTTTTCCAAAATATTGGCAGCGTGCTGGAGAAGGGCTGCTCGTCTTCCTCCTCCTCGTCGTCCCCTTCCTGTTCGATTTTCTTCGCTTGCTTCAGAAGCTCCAGAGCATCTCCGACGTGGTTGCTTTGTTTAGCAGCTAGTGCTTGCTTCTTCAGGTCCAGGGCGGTCAATTTTCGTGCCTGAACTTGCAACATCTCCAGTTCGTCGTCCGACATGCTTCGCGTCTCCGACATTTTACTTYCTGGCTTTTTGCTCCAGAACAGTCAATGTCCTCTTTTTCCTTCGCGTGYTTCGTTTTTTCGCTTGTCTTTAAAAGAGCCAATTCTTTGATCAGTGGGTTCTGAATCCGACCGGGCACATAGGTCGCAATGTCACTGATTATCTGAATCTTTCCTTGTCAAGTGCGAACACCAGATTGTTGATATTGAATAGAATGGGCAGACTTCGTTTATTTTTTAAATGCTTCCGTTGCTTAGCCGATGAGTATTCGCAACATATCGCACGTACGCTACGGTACAGTATTTTCGGGGAACCTGGGAACGATTGCGATCTAGGGTACCGCATCCGCAACGTAAATCATTACTGGACGAGTACGTACTGGTACGCTACTCATAGTAGGGAGTAGGGAGTGTGATCCTTAACATGTTAGTTAGCGATATCTAGTACAGAAGTTTGGATCGTGCTCTTCGATGAAAGAGAGTTAGCACGATCGGAAGAGAAAATTGAGTCGTGGAATRTTCAGTCTGTCATCATCCGGAACCCATCACCAAGCATCTTCAGTTTTCCTTGGAATTGAGTTTCTTTCTTTTTTGGGGGGTTATCGTACACAGTACCAGGTACCCAGGTGCGTACGTTCCGAACATCTCATACAGTACGTTTTTTGAGTAGACCGTTATCACATCCCGATGGACATCACATTGGGCAGCACTTGTACCGGTACCTCCCATTGTCGTTTTGCATTCTACCCATCGATCAAGCAATCTGACATCGCCGCATGCCGGAAACTTGCGAGCGGAACAAGAAATTCGAGCACTGGTGAAATTAACAAGAGCACGACAATGCCCGCACCGACGTCTTCGACGACAGCCTCGCGCTCGGATCCTTCGATATCAACGCCGACGGCATCCTTTCATATTGTCGCCACGACCTTCGTTCTAGGTACGATTTGCCTTGCCTTGCTCGTCCTTCCCCGAGCTTCGTCGTTTTCTCTGTCTCCCTCCCAGCACTCGCATGGTCTGTCATCGCGATCAACAGAGAGCAACGACAGGACCCCAACCATATCATCGCTGTTCCAAAGTTCAACGGCCGTCGGTACGGAAACAGAMAATTCCTCTACGCTTTTGATGAAAGAGCAAGCGGGGGGGAACAGCATGAACCGTCGTCGTCGAAAGCAACGAATACGAAACAGCAACGCCGGCACCRACAACGCCGGCACCAATGGCGACGAGAACAGCAGTTCCGCCATMTTTGAGAACGTCCCAAAGGAGGAAGACCTTCCGGATCCAGTGGTTCCCTTTGTATCCGTATCATCCATCAAACTTGTTGACCCCGACGACTCCGGAGACGACAGCGACGTCCGCGTCGAGCTCCGTCTCTGCCCGGATGATTCTTCTCCCGGTGACRTCGTCGTTATCGACCCACGCGACCTCCACCAAACCAGCGACTTCGAGCTGTGGATGGCCATGCGCAAAAATCTGGTCGACGTCTCGGCTTCCCAGCTGAGCGTAGTTTTGGGAACAAACTATTTCACGAGCCGAGAGAAGCTGCTGCAAGACAAAACAAAGGCCCGAGTCGCCGACCTCGAAAAAGATTCCAGCGACATTGATGGGGCCATTGCCCTCGACAAAGAGGATCCCACCGGAACGGCCGAAAATAATTCGAAGTCGAATTCCAAGGCGTGTGCATGGGGGATCCGAATGGAACCCCTGGCATTCGCTCAGTACTCCGATGTCATGACTAGGGACAACAACGACGGCGACGGAGATGATGTCGAGGGTGGATATCAGAACAATCGTGTCGTAGAGACGGGGATGCATCTACTCAGGCACACCGATCCGGCSACCAAGAAAACCTATATCTTTGGTGCGTCCCCGGACGGAATGGTGACGGAGGAATCTAGGGATTCCKATGCTACTGAGAGCCAGACCTCCGTCGGGCTGCTAGAAATCAAGTCTCTGTGGGGGAGACGTCACAAGGGCTCGCTGCCAGAATTTCACGGSTGCCCCAAACGATTCTACGACCAGATCCAGGGCCAGATGGCCATCTGCGACAAGGAGTGGTGCGACCTGATGCTGTTCATTCCTCCCTCCGGCGGCACTGGGGGTGGCGGTGGCGGCAAGAAGAACAAGCGAAAGGGAAAGAGCGCCAAGAAGCGCAAAAAACAGGCGGCGGCGGCCGCTGCGCGCAACACAAACGCCCGCAAAAACCGGGGCAGGAACTACTTCATCATCCGTGTCAAACGCAACGAAAAATACTGGAACGAAACCGTGCTTCCAGCCCTCGTGACATTCTGCGACGAGGTCGAAGCCAGGACGGCAGCCGTGCTCGCTGGAGAGCCAATAGCTGAAGTAGCAGAAGAGAAAGACACAAGCGAAGCGGTAGCGGCATAAACGGCGCGTTCGTCGATTAGGAATGGATGACACCGGATCTCGAAAGACAAAACTCRAAGTTTGTAGCATATCATCTCAAAGAGGGATTCTCTRCTTCCGACGAATGAAGAATGAATGCATCAAATCTTGGTTGTACTCTAGAATTGTCCAARCTCTCCCTAGCACTAGAAGAATGAACTTTGCACGAAGGAGTGGCTGAGCATGTTAAAATTAGAATAGCTGATTTTGTTTCTCAAAAAATGTTTTCAATCACTGGTTTTCACCATTGTTGTTCTAGTCAAAAGAAAAAGCAAAGCTAGGTACAGTAGCTGACACAAAATGGACGGGTACCTTAGGTGCTTCGTCACATAGCTACCTACCGGTATGAAAGTACGTATGAAATAGAGAAAAAGAATATCATCGTTGATACKTCTACTACGTACGAAGTACGTACTAGTAGACGTACTCGTACTACGACAACTGCTCGTTCGTGCGTACTCAAATTTGAGTTTCCGCAGAACATGAACATACTTTGCGTATGCTACGGTAGTATCTATTCGTCCGTTACGAAAGCCTGGACTCGCAATTTAGCCTTCCAAAATTCGCGCGAAAAATCGAAGTCCAAAAACCCCGCGATATCCTTGCAGAGTGTCTAGAGAATTCTTCTCTGCTTTCCCGTACGAACTATTTTTTGTTTTTAGGGATCTGACACTCTATGATTCGATGATTCCGTCCTCGTTCGGAGATGCTGACGTTGCCAAAACATCTGCGCATTTTCCCCCGCTCACTAATTATTCGTATTGAGCGAGCGCGCAAGGGAGGCACGGAAACCTACTATGAGATTTTGGAGAGGCGGGTTGATTCAAAAGAGGGAATGCCGAGACAGTCATTRCGTTATGTACGAAGTGCATTGTGCGCAACTGAAATAAAGGTTGTGAGAATTGAATCTTGAGTCAACAAATCTGTTGACACAACAAACACACGTTCAGTGAACAACAACTGCGTCGAAGTGCTGTTGTCAATCAACCCATCAAACCTATAGCCAACAAGCTATAACACTCGCTCCTATCKAAGACACAAGAGRCGACCGCGAGTGATTGAATTTATCATCGAACAATTCAGAAAGATCCGACCAAGTAGAAGTAGATCTTTGCCGACAAACAATCTGTTTTAGCGAGACTTTTTCGAACGAAGAGTGTGTCAACCTATTTCCTTTAGATTCCACCGGCCTTGAATTCTGTTTCCAAYTGAGGAAGAACCGCCCTAGTCAAGATCGCAAGATGGTAAAAATGTCTAACAATAGCACGAGCAGCATCTCTTTGGCCACTGCCACTACCCTCTTCTTCTGCGCGTTTTCTGTCCCTCGAGGAGTTGTCCATGGATTGAGTGTTCCGCTTGCCTCGGATCCTACGAACGTGAGAAACCAATGGGATCTGGACTTGCAAGGAAGCTTTGGCACCGTGACAATCCCAGGGGCTAGCCTGAATTCAGAGTCCTATTCGCGGGGAAGGTTTTTCGACAACGACGACGATGGTTTTTCCTACTCGCCTTTGTTGCCCATCGATTCCGACTCGGCCGTCCCGTATTCTCACSACTATGCCGACGATCACGGCTACGAGTACTACACAGGTGCGTACGCACCATCCTCTTTCGGTAGTCGCAGGTTCCCCGGTAGCTCGCTTTCTATGATGGCTTCTTCCCCGCCGACACAAGTATGGAAGTACAACAACCTGTTTGTGGGGGGGCACAAGAGAAATGGCTGGGGGAACCGCAGATCCCACTCGCGGCCCCTGGCRTCACCCGCCCTTTCGATGGCCAATTATATGCAAAACGGGGGCCCCGGAAAGGGCGGCAACAATCGTCGGCGATCCGGAAACTACAACAACAACAATTACGACGACTACAACGATAATTACAACGATCGGAACAACCGAAACAATCGAAACCGGGATGGTTACTACGGCAACAATGACCGTTTGCGCCAGCAGCCATCCTCTCGAAACAATACTCCCCGTGGTAGCAACCGCTTCAACACGGTTGGAGGGCTCGGTTCGGTCAACGGAGCCAATCTTTCGCAAGATGGTCGTTCCTTGCAATTCCAGAACCGCCGGGATTCGAACACCGCCGGACGAAGTGGAAGAATGATGGACGATTCCTTTTCCCAGTTTGCCCCCGACAATAATTCCCGTTTCGAATCGAGACCACCCAATGACAACTACGCACGGGGTGGCTACCGCCAAGATTCGCGGGACGGATATTGGAAAGATCCTAACAATTACAACGTCCAGAACGGCCCGGGTTACAACTCTGGAGGCAACAATAGCTACGCGTCTTCCTCGGTTCCTTCCACTGGTTTTAGACCCATTCCTCCCGGTGATTACGTCTCGGCACCCGCCGTTCGTGGGCCCTTCAATTACGAGTACGGACGAAACAATGTAGGTGGGGGCAATGTACCATATGATAGTGCCTACTACAACAACGATTACAGCTCTGGMAATTTCAACGGCTACAACACTATCGACGGTGACGACGAATACTATTCGCGCAATGGAAACGTAATGGACAACCGTAGACGATCGGGGGGACGCGGAGRAGCACCGGGAGGGGACCAGWATTACTACAATCTCGATTACCGGGATTCCAATCGGCGGATGGATCGTGGCGGAGGTCTCATGAACTATCGACCCAACTACAACCAGCGGGGCGGAAACGAGTACGACAACCAACGAGGCGACGAGTACTATTACGATGACCCGTACGATTCCTCTGGGTCCTTTTACAACCACGAAGGGAAGCGGGTCAGACGGTTCGACCCCGTTTACGATCGACCCGATGGATACTATAACCCCGACGACATTACCAACGACAGCACCGATCCGGAGCGGATGATCCAGAACCAGCGCCGCCGCGATGGCCGAGACGTCAAGTCTGGTGCTCATCTKAGACGGTATAATCCGGAATGGGACTCGAACCAGGGACTGTACAACGAAGCGTCTCTGTACGGAAACGATGTGAAAGGAACCCGGCAGTACAGCAACGGGTACGGCGATGACATTAACAATCGGGTTTCTCCACGCCGTCGACCCAACACCCAGGACGGCAGCTGGGGCAATCGGGATCAATACTCCATCAGACCAAACAACGGTCAGTACAATGATTATCGAGACGATCGATTCGTCGAAGACGGATACGATCGGGGGCCGAACCGATTCGACAATCGCCAGGGAAACCGGGACGAAAGATATATCGATCGCCGAGGCGATGACTACTACGATCAATACGACGAGTACGACGGTAATGGTCGTTCCCGAAGGGACAGTCCGAGGAGAGGCCTCGGGCGGAGGGACATGGATGGAGAACGCGACTACTACCGCGGTGACGAGTACGGCGGGCCCAAYATTCGTCGGGACGACTCGATGGAACGATTTCGACAGGGCAAGGACGTGAAAAAGAACGACCCCTACGGATTCGAAACTGGAAACACACCGAGCAGCAAGAAACGCATCCRAACTGGCAGGGATCCGAGGATGAGCAACAACAGCCAGCGTGGCAACAGCCGACAACGCGTTGGACCGATGCAGAGGGGACGCGAGGATCCCCGAACCGGGCGTGGATCGACCGTGAACGGGAGCTAYAATGGTGGTTCTCGCAACGGCCGAATCAACGGCTCGGGGGGTAGGGATCGTGGATTGTCCCTCGACGATCTGAACGAGTTGTTGTAGGCAGGAAGACGATCGGTCTGATGGATTCGTTTCATTCTCTCATTAGTTCGTGTTGTGGTGCACAAAGATTGGTTTGTCATCCACGCTTGTGCCCGTGGCAAGGGCCGGGCCATCTCTTGCACGCGCCGATCGAATTCGTCTCATTTCACGCACARCCACGCAGACGCATACAAACACCGGGGGTGGGGGCAACAAGGGCAACACAAAGATCGCGCCGGACGACACCTAATACACAGCATATAACATCACACCTCGCACTCGTTAAGAATTGTTTATACATCGTGCCTAGTCACTACGTACCTTCTCAGTATCCGTTTCTTGCATACTGAATGCATACATTATTCGTCACACGTCAGGAATTTCCGAAAACACCAAATGAAAATACTGCTTGTAATACGTACCGTAGCACAAGTGAAAGTAAAGAAATACACACGGATTCCGTACGACGTACGATACTTTAGGTTGTTAGTATCCATAACCAGCGAATACTGTAAAAAATACTTTTAATAATCATGTTCGTGGCATCCATACCTACGTACTTCACGAACTACCAACCGCACTGAGGAATGTCGCCTGAAAAGTGTTTTTCACGGCAGAGTGGGGAGGAGATCAACACTACATTACGACCGCGGTTTTCTCACTTCTTTCCCTTGTTTTTAAGCCGTTCGCCAGCTTATCAGTAGAAAATTATCAGTAGAAAATTCCACTCGAAGCCGCTTCATCCAATGGAATTCAAATAGCTACGAATTCTCAGTGGTACGCGTTAAAGCAGAAATACAACAAAAAATGATGGGGCTTGAGTTGCTTTCGAGATGGTGTACGGTACAACGTGRAGAGAATGCGCAAGACATAACGATTCAACTCGAAGTAGATGTGGAGCACGAGACGATTCGAGAATGTCCGWTCTCGTTGGCCACGACAATTCTGTTGCCGCGGATAATGAGAATGGAATTTTGAACATGGACGAAACGCAAGAGGAGGAGATTTATGGGAGATCAAGGGAAGCTCCCGGTTATGGTTACCCTGACCCCAACACGATGAAGCATCGAAAAATTGGAACATCGTCAAAGCGTTTGGCAAAGTATCGAAGAGATTCCACGTGCTTTCACGTCTTTTTGGATCGATGGCCCCGGCTTGTAGCAATCATCAAATGCTTCTTTTTATTTGCATGTTTGCTGCTCGTGACGTTTCTCGGAGGATACGCAATCAGCAGACTTGAGTTTCCGCACGAAATTGAGAATAACGATTCCATAATGAGAGAAAAGTGGTTTCTGCAAATTCTACCAGTAAATAAAACAAAGAATGCAATCAAGGAATTGCCCGCGGCATGTTTGCGTTACTATGGTAATCTAGTCGAGACGAAAAACAACATTTCCACTGACACCATCGATAAGAGCGAGTTGGAATCGAGCGGCATTGCAAGCAATCATTCGTTYGTTGAMCAGGCGAATGCCGACATGTTCTTTTTACGATTTCAGTCGATATTTTTATCCCATGCGAACGTTACATTTGAAGAGTTCAGTAACTTTACCAACTCGACTATCTTCAGCGATTCTCAAGCCAGTGTGTCGACAGATGGTATCCATAATACGATGATCAGTGCTAACAATATTGCTCATAATTCTTCATCTTTGTCAGACAGTCTTCTTGGTGTCATGGACGTATGCAGTGATATCGTTAGTGAATTGGTGACTGGYCTATTAGATTTCACGGTCGAGGCAACAAACCGTGAGCAAAATAGCCAAGATTTGACTTTCAATTGGATTAGATGCTGGAACATTTCGGACTCCGGGAGCATGGATCTCTACAAGGCAACAACACAAGAACAAATCAATGCGAGTCAGACCCCGAATCAAAAACGCTACTTTGCCCAAGAGTGGAACAAGAACCAAAAAGAGTTGTTTCATCATTATCTGACCGAACTCAATTGCAACGAAAATACCACCGCTATGGTCTTCGATGGACTAAATTTTTCGAAGTGCACGTGGAAAGCAATGAAACAATCAGTATTAGACGCTTCGGCTGGAAAGGGATGCTATGCCAATACTGCATCTGCATCCTGGTTCTGGTTCACAGTGATGACGAGTAAGTGATCAGGCATATGGTAAAAAATCTTTGAACGAGCAAGAATGCACCAGAAAACTCACTTGCATTCTCTTCCATTCATTTTCGTTCAATATATTTTTGCTTGAAAAGCCCTCGGATACGGTAAGAAGAACTGTTGATACTAGAGACAATCTATTGATTAAAAAATGTTGTCATCTGAATCTCCTCATTTATCATTTCATGTTTTAAATCGCCGACAATTATTGTCCGATAGGAAACTCTGTTCCCAACACAGTAGAAACTCGCATACTTGTATTTGCTTTCGGATGGTTATCTGTTGTTGCCTTTGGGGGGATCATGGTTGTGTGTTCTTTTACTATGACAACTATCGCCGATGATGTTCTCGTTCGATTGAACATGAGGTGGTTGCGGCGACCAATATATTCGACACCGGCGTGGGCACTGATCACTGCTGCCTACTCCGTACTTCTTGCCTACCAGATACAAAATTATTGGAATGTCCAAGTTCCAGAATTTTCCTACAWGACTGGAGATTCATATTGGTTTTCATATATTACGCTTCTGACCATTGGACTGGGAGATTTCTATTTACAATCCGAAGGTCTTTTTTTTTACAATGTAATCGTGTGGTCCGTAATGGCGTTGACTGGATTTATTTTCACGACTTCTTTTTTAAGCAAGTTCAGTGAATTGATCGTGGATTGTTTTCCCAGAGACGCTGAAAGCCTAGAGTATCATCTAGCCCGCACCGATATATGTGGCTATGGAATCAATACCCCTATAAGCAAATCACTTGAAACTCTTCGGCAGTTAATAGATAAAGAAAGAGAAGAAGTGGTATTTGGAGCATTGATTGAGAGTCAATACGACAGCCACTGCAACCAAGAACATTCTGGCAAGAAGAGCTATAGAAGTAGCTTTCGTGGAAGAGACGATCAAGCGAAAACACCCGATGGCAAGACTATTAATCACCATCGAATTCAAATCTTGATAGAAAAGAAGAATATTTTGATAAGACTTTTAGAGCGCAATCAATCGGAGATGGAGGACAGAATGGATTCAAACATAATTCTTGAATCATCAACCGAAAGTGACGAGGACAAAGGCAGGTTTGGAATCTATCTCAAGTCGCAAGGTGCGAGGGAGTCCCTTACAACGCTGGAAGAACTGCGGCGAGACGAAGAAATCTTAGAATCAACTCTGACCCGAACAAAGGACATCCGACGGTCGTTRGAAGCGCAGTGCAAGAATATGGTAAGCGATAGTTCCAGTTGGGGGTCAGAATAACATTATGGTTTACAAAACAGTCTCCATGACTGTCATAGTTTGGTCTTCTTTGAGGTTGATACCATTCATTTACTTAGAMTAGTATTTCGCCAAAATTTGGGTTCTAGCATCATTATTTGTATTTAAATAGTAGGAGTTCAGAAAAAAACACTTAAAGCACCAGTCATTTCAAGATTCCCAACAAGACTTAAGTTCAGTCAACRYTGACATTGGTCATTCCAAGATTTAAGAGAGCCCAATTCCTYTAAGACTTAAAAAACCAGTCATTGCCATCATCAGTCATTACAAAATTCAAGAAAACCAAATTGCTCCTAAGACTCAAAAATWAGTCATTGCTGTCATTGGTCATTTCAAAGTGAAAGAAAACATAAATCCTCCCAAGAGTAAAAAATGACTCATTGTTGTCATCAGTCATTCCAAAATGGAAGAGAATCMAATTCCCTCAAGAATATCACTACTAGTACTTGAATGTTCAATAATTATCATTATTGGTCATTCCAAAATTAAGAACCCAGCACTTCCTGGATATTCAGTCATTACTGTAATTGGTCAYATCAAGACAAAAGAGAACTCAATCCCTCCCAAGACTTGCTGCTAGGAGTAGACAAAGAGCTATGGTGATAACCTGCTGGGCAATACCATTGCACCCAACAACAAGAGAAGCTTCTCAAGATGTGACAAATTTAGTCACAAGCCATTCAAGCATCAAAACAGAAGTGGTAAAAAAGCATATGAGCATTGCATACTAATGTTAATGTTACTAACATTTTTAACTTTAAAACATGTAACACTTTGGACTAGCACCAGAGGCAATGGCAGGAAAGCTGCTACTACTACTAGTAGAACCATCACTTCTTGTTCTTGCTGGGAGAAGATTGCTTCTACTACTACTGTACTAGCTAGTAGAAGTACTAGTTGCTGTGAGGGGCAGCACTCCTGGAGGAGCACAAGTGATATGGTACTCACACCAGATGTAATACTAAGGTATGATGGAATYRTTGAAAGTATTGCTGTCTCTTCTYGGAGTGTGTATCAAAGACCAGCATATCTTGAGGATTGATTATCACCAGTAGCTATTTAGTACAATTAGTACTYAATGATGGAGAAAAATACTGAGCAATCAGATTGGTATTGCATCTTGAATACTCCTATAGATTGTTTTTCATTAACTCTGATAGTAGTATCATGAGAAGGAAGTGTTGGTGGCATTGGATSGGAAAGCTTCAAGGTGAGGGGGGGAAAGAGTGGCTTAAGTTGGACAAGTTTTGGATGGAGACAAGAAAAAGTGTCTGGATCTCTTTGTTCATAATGCTTGGTGTAAGGCCTCCTAATGGGAAACAGTGTGACAATGGATGTCTTTATTCTTGCTTTGCTCCAACWCATTAAAACAAGATTTCAATTGAAGAGGTTCCTAATTCCCAGGAAAGTCAGCTTGTATGAGAACAGTGGAGGGTATGGATACTGACTRGTGGGAACATAAATTGATACATTGATTGTTTGAGAACTGTAGCACCATTGTGGAGTAGGATGCCATTCCAACCCTTCTTTGTGACAAGGAACATACCTGGTGTTGTCAAGGCAACAGTTCRCAATACTGAGAGGTTTGCAAGCTACAWCCTTGGGGACATTGCTTGTCCACATAATGATACTATCATTACTATGGAACAGGTACATTGATACTTCCAATATTTKAGAACTGTAGTAGCACCAGTGTGGAGTACTAGTAGGATGTCATTCCAAAACTTTTTGACAAGGACATCCCTATCAAGGCAGCATATACTAGTAGCAATACTCAGAGGTTTGTAAGCTATAAYCTTGAGAACATTGCTTATTGACTTGATTATACTAACATTACTACTAACACTTATGTTACTACAACAAACATCACAGCATTCAGGACAACCATGGTTAGTAATGTAACTTGCATATTTTTTATCCATCATGCTTTTCTCAGCACTGTCACTTATGCTAAGCCAAAACTACTATGATGGCAAGCCAAGAAAGTGGAAAATTGAGGAACYGCTGTCATCAAAAACTGCTGAAAAATTCTMAAAATTGTCATAGCACTTTCAATGTATGAAGACCAAATGATGCTCTAGAACAAGTTACACAGCAATATTTTGAGAGGCATGAAATTTCAGAAACTACTACTAGTACTAATGAAGAAAGTGTTACTCCTAGTAGTTTCTTGGTAGAAGAACTCCAGGCAGAACTTGTTGACGACATGGATGTGATATAGTATGATCCACCAGGTTGTATTCAGTTTACAGACACATTCAATAAGCTGCAAATTGACACTTCAGTCACCACAGATCATGCATCCCATAAGTGTGGTGAAACTACTGAAACCACCTAATCTCTGAAGAAACTAAAAATGGGTACTGGGATTGTGAAATTGTCAACATTGATAAATATTTTGTTTGATGTGTAGAYGCTGAAAAGGTTCAATGGATAGAGGTAGTCCTCAAAGAAGGTGGGCCTGTTCTCCACGCACTGTGTTATTTCTTAACCGTATTCATGAACTGACACTTCTTTGAGCTGTATCTTGGTACCCAACAGATGCTTATCAATGATAAGCGCATGAACTGAAAGGGAATTTAAGTACATATATTGTCATGTGGGGGATTAGTATACTACTAGTAGGGCGTTATGGATAATATAAAGTTAAACAGGGCTGTATGTACACAATTACTACTAATGTATGACTGGATCGTACACTTTTTAGTAGCCAAGCCTAGTATGTTTCTGTGGATTGATTTTAGCCTATCTTTCTTTGTGTAATGACGACTTGTGGGGTTAAAAATTTGACTTGTACTACCCTCAGTAGAGGAGCAAGAGGCAGCATATGGGCGCAAAAAAATTTGGTCACAAGACTGGTGCTTCATGGGAATAAAATTCAAGCACTGTAAACTTAGTACAATTCAGTCRTCTTTTAGTCAAACTAGTCATTACACGCAAAATAAGGGTCCAAAATCAATGACTGTATCACCAGCAGCACATCTAGTACTAGTAGTACTAGTACTACACAACAACAAGCACCAACAAGACAATATGTCACCAGCACGCCGTAGTAAAACCTCACCACCAGCCAATTCCCAATTGGTAGTACTGGTAGTATTGCTAACACAAGAACTGTYCACAAATTTCAGAGAAGATCTTTGTAGTAAAACATCTTCTTGGTTTCAACCTGGTCTTGCACAAGAAGAAGCAGTCATTGGATTCATGCTTTGCTTTCTTGAAGAGTTGGCTACGGTGCACTACACTGCACTTCACTAACTTTAGTGCGCGGTAGCCAGTAACTTTGAAGAATTCTTACAGCCCT